TTAGTCACAAAGAGCAATACGCGCTCATACTGAATGCCATTCGGCCATAGTAAATTCATGGAATTGATAAAAAATTCGGAAACTGCGGAGCTATTTGTGGTTTCAAATTACTCCACTGCAAAAAGATATGGGGTAGATTGTTCATTCTTATCAAGGGATCAAACTATACAATTTATAATAAACTGTCCCTCACAATCTTGTGTTATGTCAATTGATTTTTTCCTTTGGAGCTACAGCCCTCATTTGGGCCTAGACCTACCTCCATGAAACTCTTCGTCAATTGATACCCACACAAAATTATCTTGAATCTTATCTCTAATGCTTTCAATTGTAAGATCGTAACACTACTTCACGTAATTTTTGCGCACAGTAGATCCATCCGGCACTTTGCACTGTGTATACTTTTCTCTATAAAGTTTCTCAGAGTAGGACTGGTTAGTTTCCACAGCGGGATATCTGCTGCTAAAAAGGCTTCGCATAAATGAAAGGAGAACTGTGAAAAAATATTATTAGAAAATTCACTAAGCAATTTTTGCACAGGAGCACTTTTTGTGGATTTAATTTTAATATTCTCTTTGTGTATATTAGTGTCCAAATGCTGAAGCACTTGAAAGTGTTTTTTACAACCGTTTTCTCACATGCTCGGCAATAAAGAATTTTGTTATCCATAGTTATCATCTCTCTTTCAAAGTCCCGCTGATACAGCTGTAATTTAGTTTTCTGACCTACTTTCACTTTCGGCATGACTACAGAAAGCTAAACAAACTTAACTACAGGCTAGTCACCATTAATGAGAATGGCCCCCAGCTTCAAACGAAGAAGCGTAAGGAACCTCATGGAGACTTTGGAAATAAATAAGTGAAGTCCCTTATCGGTTGAATAGTATTACGTTGATAGCAGCTACATGTGAAGGCTTCTGACTAATCTCTTCGCGGCCACTTTGATGGTACGTGGATGAGGCAAGTTACGAGTAGAGGGATCGGGGAAGTCCCGTCCTGGGTATTGCATCAGAAACATGAATCATGACAAAATATTAAGTCAAATATGCAACATATTGTAATACGGAACAGAAAAATTTTATGCACATGACCATGATTGAAAATTTGAACATAAAATTAAAAAATACATATGATAAATATTTCAAAAAGGAAATATGCAGTATAAATAGAGATCTTTGAAAATATGATGCTTATTCATAAAACAGGCAAAATATGCATTTATATGCACCATCAAACCATGTCCAAAATTTAAGAAATGAAGTAATTCATACATATATCTAAACAAGCATACTTTCTGGTTGCAAGAAAGAAATATGCATTTGCATTAAAATCCGGTCCCTAGTCATATGTGAGAAAGTATGTACAATGCCTTTGCACAGATTTTGTTTATTAGTGAAATGGTCAGAGTATAACATGTGACAGGTGGTGGAACTGTGAGACCACTATCCATTCTGAAAAAAATGAAAAGCTTATAGATTCATTGAAAACAAGAATTAGTAGATACTGACAGTGAATGTTGTTTTTTTGACAGTATCTGTATCTTTCTCAGCACCTATACCTGGGATGTGTGAGCTTTTTAGTACCATCTTAAATAGTTTTGTGTTGCT